TCAGGCCAGGCTTTACTGTTGCCTTTTTGCTCTGTTGTTGGTTTTCTTTTTTTGGTCCCCCTCCTTTTCTTTTCCTGTTGTTTCTGGTTACTATGGTTGTTCCACTGTCCCTTGGTACCTCTGTATGAATGACTTCACTTAAAATTTCTCAAAGTTTTGGTCTTATTTTCACAAATTCGTTAAGTTCCTTATTTTCTGCAAAGGCTCTAATTTCTCCTTCATAGCTGATGGGTACAGGATCCTTGGTTGGCAATTGTTTTCAATTTTCTGTATATGCCATCCCATTGTCTTCTAGCTTGCATGGCTTCCGCTGAGAAATTCTAATTGTTTCCCCCTTGTGGGTAACTTTTTTTCTCATGCTGCTTTTGGTAGTCTATCCTTAGCTTGTAATTTGGATAATTTGACTATGATAGGTTTTTCTTTTTGGGTCTAGTCTAGTTGGTGTTTGCTGTGCTTCTTGAATGTGTATTTCCTTGCTCTTCAAAATACAAGGGAAATTTTCTTCTAAATTGTTTTGTTGTTATGTGCCGTTGAGTTGCTTGTGACTCATAGCAACCCTATGTACAAGAGTCCTAAACCCTGCTCTATCCTGTGCCAACCTTACTGTCTCCGACACACTTACTCCCACCACCCCAGTCACAGAACCGATCCATCTCATTAAGGGTCTTCCTCTCCTGCACTTGTTCCTCCACTCTTCCAAACATGATGTCCCTCTCCAAGGACTCTTTGCAACATGCCCTAAGTATGTCAGACGAAGCTTCAGAATCCTTGACTCCAAGGAGCAGCCTGGTTTCACCCTCTCCAGGACAAATCTGTTTGTTCTTCTATCAGACCATGGTATATTCAACACTCTTCTCCAGTACCACAGCTCAAAGGCATCAATTCTCTATCATCCCTAGTCATTGTCCAGCTCTCTGATGCACAGCACGCAATTGCAAAGACTACAGCCTGGATCAGGTGCACCTTAGTCTCCAGCCTGATGGCATTGTTCTTTAGTACTCTGGAGAGATGCCTGACAGCTGATTAATTTTAATGAAAGTTTACAGTGACTTTGGATTCCCATTCATTCATTGTTGCATTTTTCTCCCTGCCCAACCTCCCCTCCCCCAGTTTGCTCTTTTCTTTGAAAAAGTAACTTCCATTGTTATACAATCTTTCTCCACCCCACCCCACCACCAGTCCACTTTGCTATGCAGCTTTTATTCTGGACTCCTGTCATGACAATACTTAATCATATATCCCTTTTAAACAGTTCTCTCCCTCTTCTGTTTCTGTGCAGTATACTTTCTTTCTCAGTCTCCCCCTAACCATGATGTCAGTCCTGTTTTACAGCAGTGGCAATATGCAGTATTTGTCCTTTGTGACTGAGGTATTTTACTCAGCCTAATGTCCTCCAGGGTCACCCATTTTGTATAGTAAGAGTTCCTGATTTTTTCAGTGCAGCATAGCATTCCATTGTGTATACCAGTTTCTCTATCCATTTGTTTGTTGATGGGCACTTGGGCTGTTTCCAACTTTTTGCTATTGTAAACAAAGCCGCAATAAATATGTGCAAGCATATCTGCTTGGGCGGCAGTTCTGGTTTCTTTAGGATATATTCCTACTAGTGGAATTTCTGGGTCAAATGGTAAGTAAGGCCCATGGTATTTTTACAGCTTGGGAAAAGTGCTTTCTCTAATGATATACCTCTAATTCTGTAATGATGCAAACCCTCAAAATCCAGAATTTCAAATTTAAAAGCAAACCACTGAAATTCAAATGTCTCCTATGAAATAAAGGATAAGCATATTTGGTGAAATGTACTGCCATTTCTAAAAGTTACAAAACAGATCTTTTTCCAAAAGCCCTGTGACACAGTCTTTCAGTTATGTTAACTCCTGTCCACAGCTTTCTACACAGGAAACAATTTGAAGGCAGGAATCACTTCTTGTGTCAGCATTTATAGGTGCAAGATCAAAAGTTAGTTCTTGGAAGCCTTTGCACATTAATTCTGGATAGTGGGGCATTTTGAGTCAGATGACCATCTCTGGAGATGAAAAGACAAAGAAAAATGGGGTTGCCTT